ATCACTATCAAATTGAAGTATTTTGATGGTACAGATCGAACACTCAATTGGATGAAATTCAGAGATACGAAATCAGAGAATGTATGTGAAATGTTCTTCAAAAAGATGTACCAGAAAAATGACCAAGACGGCTATATGATTATTGTCTAAAAACTATCACTAGACAGTTACAAACTGTCATAAAAAAACTACCAAACCTATCATTAAACGGATCTCAGGGAAAAAGGGTCAACTTTCTAAAAATAGGATTTTTGATGCATTTTTTAATATAGCAACATAGTACAAATAAAAAATTTACGCGCTGATGTGGTAGCTTGACCCCAGTCAGGGGCTCTGCCCCTTAGACCCCGCTAGGGGCTGCCGCCCCTGCGACCCTGCTCCCAGGGGCGCTGCCCCCAGACCCTCGTTCGTTTAGGGGATTCGCCCCTAAATAACAGTGTACTTTGAATCTTGAAAAACTTGAACAAGTGTGCACTCCTACACCCTCCTAACTTGTTCAATATTCAACAATATCACTTTTTGTCAACAAATTTAATCCTATTACACTTAAATAATATTGATGATATAAAATCACCAACAGGAAGTAGTGAGTTGTATGATTGATGACTGTCTGTATTATGGGGCTACTTGATCCTTGATTATTTATATATCGATATATGGTGGTAGTGGGTTGAGATGGTCCTGGTTTGTGTTGTAGGCCAAGATACCCGGTGCGGCCCGGATGTAAGCTGTAGGTATGGAGGCTCGGGAATAGCGGTTGGGTTGAGGCGATAGGCCAACAAACCCTGGGTATTCCAGCCCGATGGCTGATTGGACCCGTTGCATGTTGGCATTCCAGTCGGAGGACTGATTGGGCCTCGGCATTGCAATCTGATGATTGTGGGACGTTATGTATGCTTGTATGTTTATCGTATGGGGTATTTTAGGGAAAGACTCACTAAGCTTTATGCTTACCCAATTGTATGTGTTTTTTAGGTTTTATCGGTGATCATAGGAAGGCGAAGGCGGGACTGTACACACTCATCAGCAGCATTGAGGATTCCAGATTTCTTAAATTACTCTGATTTTCAATAAATGTGTTTTGGAATAAATGGTTTTCTTAATAATGGATTTATAATTGGGAAGTTTTACTTTAATAAAACGAAAATTTTTGGTTGTGAAAATGGGACGTTACAATGCCTTTTGTGATTTATGGCCTATAGAGTGTTACCACACGAATGTTGCTTGCTCTATGCTTTGTGGGACTCTTATTGATGTGATTTAACTAATAAACGAATATCTTAAGTTACATGTTGTGAAAGTTAAATAATCTTCAGGTGATTGATTTGGCCCTATTGCATAGCTCTTGTCTGAGTGTAACCATTCTTGGGTTAGGTCTTTTGGTTGAAAGATTATTTAAGTTTTGTTGCATGTAATTGTAATCATGAAGTAGTTAGCTGACATTTGAAGGAGTCCTTCAGTAGTTGGCGGAAGGGTGGGGTGGGGATGCTAGGAGAGCCTAGGAATTGCCTTAGGGGAATTGGTGCGATGTTTATCGGTGTGTATTCATTTGAGAGCGGGTATATGTGATTGGACTGGACGGTAGTGGACATGAGTAGTTACTTAGAGGATCCGAAACAATTATTAAGGAAAATATGGGTAGGTGTGGAAGGTAGTATTGGGCTCGTACTACTGAAAGCACATGATCCATACTCAAATCGAGGAAAATTTCGGGGATTATAAGGAGTTGATTGAGGGTAGATTGTATTGTTTGGCACCATCATTCATTGCAGTGCGTTTCCGTCTTTATCAGTTTATCGATTATGGTTTTTTAGGCTGAGGATGGGCCTATTAATTGTTTCAGCCTTAGTGTCCATGTCATTTTAGGTTTGAGTGGTGCAAACCTAGGTGAGTTAGTTGATTTTGAGGTCTTGAGGGCCTTGTTCAAGGTAGTTCCAGTTGAGTCGTGGGACTCAAGAAGGAAGCCATTATGATGATCGACTCGAGGATTACAGTCGGAGGCTAAGTGATTCACAGATGGATTAAGATGTCACTATCTACGAAGAGGGTTATGTTCTTCTAGCTTTCCACGTTTAAAGGAAAGAGAGAGTAGACATGTGATTTTCAGAGTTGGGGTGTAGACCTAACATGGGACTGTATAGTTGCGGTTTTTTGCGGCAGGTATAGCAGTTTGGGAATGCACAAGAGGATTTTCGTGGTATGGTTGACATGAGATGAGATCAAAGGCCTGCTTTCTTCGAGTATAGTTAGGCCGGGTTCTAGTTGATTGTTCCAGGTGATCAGGGGAAGTGAATCGGGAGCGACAACTTTTGTTGTCTTTGATGTATCCCGACTATGAGAATGATACCCCTTGTAATTATGAACGATTCTCTCGATGAATTGATGGTTGGGGATTATAGGTGAGGGTTGTGGTAGTTTATTTGTTTCTAGATAGAGAATTGGTGCTACGAATGGACTGTCAGAATTATTGCTTGGGCATCTGCATGTGATTCTTGATGTTAGGGTGATTATGATTGGGAAGTTTCCGAGATCTCCACCTGAGATTTGGAATCTCTTTGATGTTGTTGGTCTTTATCTGGAGGATCATCTTGCGTTGTGTTATTCATTTCAAGAGTCAGGGGTGCCATGTATCTGGTTGAGCCGGTTTGGGATTTGGTTTGTTACGATGTCAGTCAATGGTAGTTTGAACCCTAAGAAGGGGAGAATTGGGTATTTCTGCTTGGAGGATCATCGATCTGCTAGAGTTTATGGTTTTAGAATAATGGATCCCAGGAATCAGTGGTTCGGGTATTGGAGACTTTGGTTCAAGATTTGGTCAAGACAAGGGTGCAAAGCAAGTTGTCATCAGATGTATGTGCTCAGGAATGCATGAGTGGTCTTCACGGAAGGAAGTTGTTGGACAAGTAGCTCGTTGTATCTAGTGACTCCTTTTCGGAATTTCGATGAGTAGGTCAAGAGGCATTTGGGTCACTCAGGTTGAGTATCAGTTGTTAAGGAATTTGTCAGCTCGTTGTATAGATTCCAATCTACAGTCTAGGATGGGAAGTTGTTTATTGGTCAATAAACTTCAAAGTTTGGTATGGGTAGTTCCTCATGTGCTTGTTCAGTAGTGTATTGGGTCATTGGATTTAGTTGTCAATGCATTCTCAATCATTGGTCATTTCTTTCATCGTCAATAGCTAAGGTTTTTTGAAAGTTTCGAGCTATATCAGTTGAAGTTCAATGGATACGTCAACCTATCTTCAAATATTATACGTTTTATATTTTTGGTTTTTGGATCGGGTTTGGCAGCTGTTTGGTTATTGGGAGTTCGGATGCGGAGCGGTGTTGTTTAGTTTTTCAGGTATGACTTTGGATCTACACAGATTCCAATTTTGGCATGTCGTTCGTATTTGGATTAATCTAGCTTGGGTTTTAGCAACATTTCAAGATAAATTTGGAAGTTTTATCGAGTTAGTTACGTATTGGTGGGATCTGTTCAATTTCAATCAAGGTGTGGGATCTTGTTTCGGTCGTTCATGAGGATGTTTCTGTTAACGGTTGAGGTTCGTAATTTTGTTAGGTCTACTGGTACTTCACCCTTTGTGTAAGGTTGTGACGAAGAAAGAAAGCAGTAAATCTAGGGTTGGTTATGTGTTTTCCCTTGGGGGTGTATATTGTAGTAGTGCATCAAATATGGTCATGAGGGGTGTATATGGACTGAGTAATATAGAATGAGAACACTTGGTTCGAATTATTGGCATGGTTATTATTTGGTTTATAGCCTTTAAATTGGAACACGTGTACGACCGCTTATCTTATTCTCTGGTTGCGTGCGACCATGTTTTCGTCTGATTTTGCGTTGGTAGTAGCATGTTCAGTGAAAGGAATTATGCTTTATAGAAAAGTATGTCTCGTCTTGTGTTTAGAGGGATATTGATTGGGTTACTGCAAGTCGGTGGGTTGATGGTTTAGTACCTATATGCATCTGTGGTGTTGGTCGTCGGTCTTAAGGACAGTGATGGAATGACGACAAGGTTGGCGTCGTACCGTGAGCTTATCATTCTAGTGGTTAGAGGGTGTCACGATGTATCATGAACCAATGGTTGTATGACTCATATGGGTGGGTCTCAATAGTCATTTGATGGAGACTCTTTGGTCTTAGATTGTTAGTATTATTGGCATGATTGGTTGTAGGGACATTTCAGGGAGCCGGAAGGCTCAGTGACCAACTGGTTGAGTTTATGTGGATTTTAAAAGTTTGTTTTGTTTGATTCAATAGTTGTGTATCGGATGTCACTTCTTGAATGTTGCATTTGTGGGTCTCTTCTTTCTTAGGGGCTATTATTATGAGTTGGTTACCAGATATGGGGTTTGGATCTAAAACTGTGGGTCCACACATGCATGTTTCCCTCCAACTCATCCAAAAATCAAAACGTAAGACGGTCTAAAGGTTGACATTCCTTCTTCCGGGTCAGTCAAGAAATTCACAGGTGCCTCTTTCTTGACATAAACTCCGACAAGCTTAAATATGTCAAACAAAACATTCTTAACCATATTATGCCTATATTTGAACCCCGAGAGTTCTTTACAGTGAACTGCATGCTCTCCAAAAGAGTCCAAACATGCCTTGCGATACATCAGACATATCTCGTCAGCTAGGAATATTGGAATCATGAGCCGATATTTAAGGATTGTACGATACTCCACATAAGACATATGTTGGCAAAACTCATCTATAGGGATAACTAGAAAAAAAATCTTAAACATGTGGTGTACGTAAGCACTGAAAAACCGCTTTGGCCGAGCCGAAAGAAAAAAAAAATGAGTTAAACCGTTAAGTTGAAAAATGACTCTAAAATTTTGACCATTTTTATCCTTATTTTTTTAAAGTCTCAATCGACAATTTGAGTTTGGTCATTCTTGCATTGGTGTGGTGAAAGTCTTGTTCTTGTATATGACAAATGGCTGATCCTGTAGATAAATTACTTTTCCGAAAAGCCCAATTGTTTATATCGGCCCAATACTTCGATTACTCCCCTCTTTCGCCATCTCTCTCGATTGAATCGGGGAAGTCATGGGATACGTACTCAGGGTGAGGTTCGCTTCGTTCTTCGCCGGCGCTGCGGTGGCTTCAGCCGGTGGATTCTATTTTCTTCACAAGGATTACAAGGTCGCTCATCAATCTATGTCTCAACAGGTATTCTCTTTCCCTTTTCCTCTACTTTGTGTACCAATTAGTCCCATTACTACCGGTGGTGTATCCCGAATGCGTTATCGTCTTTATTTCGAATTGACTGAGTGATTCTCTCAGTTTTACAACAGTAATTGATAAATGTTGGTGCTATTATGCTGTGATTCGATATAAAACGCACAAAATCAGAACCCTAGGTAACCGATCAGCATGCCCTTTCCATACATGAACCACGATTAAATTGGATTGACAGTATGTTATGTGGAGTAGGAAAACGATTTAGTTTTTGTGGGCAACCATTGAGTTTTATCTTGCAGCATGCCCTAGATTATATATTTGAAAAACATGGGGTTTACATGCTTATAGGCTAAATGAATATGCTTATAGATCTATCAACCTTCTTTTCTTGAGCTGCACTTTTTAAATAAAAGCATGCTTTCATTAATTTCAGAAGTTTATGCTATACATTTAGCAACGAATAAAAGCTTTTGGAGGAGGTAGAAAGACAAAAATCCTTATTATTGTTTGAAATCTTGAGTCTAGAGTTCCATGGCATTTTAGGGATTGTTTCTTACTTTCTTTATCCCTCCCATTTGATAAAATGTAGCTGTATTATGAAACTTCCATTTTTGTTCTTAAGTAAACCTTGCTACATGCATACAAGTGCATTGCTGGAAACTTATTCACTAGTGGGAGCTTTAATATTGATGTCTTTAAGGAACTTGTTGTATAGAAATACTCTTTAGCATTTGGACCCCACTTTTTGTGCTTTGGTATTTATTTTTTATTAGGTGTATAAAAACTTATTTAGTGTTAATATCTGTGTTGTAAAAAGTACATATATCTAATTACAACATTGTTCCTAAAGTTGTAACAAAGTATTATATCCATGGTGATGTAGATTAATGACTTTTATAAATCTCTGGATGGACGCATCTCTTCTTTGGAAAATCTAAAAGAAATAGAAGCAATGAAACCGGTTGAAGGTGCAGAATAAGGAAGTCAAAGAGTCTTTGGTAGTTCCAAGCATCTGGTTTGACTCAAAATTTACTGAATGTTGTAGTGCAAGCCCTTTTTTTTTTTTTTTTTTTTTTGTCTTAGTTAATAACAAATGTGGATTGACTATTGAGATGGATGACTTCCAGTCAATTTGAAGGATTTTACTGCATAATTATCACTTATTTCTGTAATTAAAGATGGATTGTAATTTGTAGCAATACAAAAGATAGAACAATCCATGTGGTATGAAGTGTGATGGGATATGGCATATATGACCCACCAATAGGGCAACATATGGTGCCTTTTCTTTCCAGCCATTAAAAGCATAAACATATGCTTTATCCATTTGAATGAGATAGTTTGCTATTCATTCTCATCCATCAAAGAAATGCAATCAGTAACTTCGATTTTTTATCCTTTTTGGTAGATTAGTTACAAAAAAGTAAGTAAGAAGTAACTATCAAAAACTCCTTATTTGAATCAATAAATGCTTATGAAATCTTTTTATTTAAACACTAAAAACTTCTTATTATGGATGTCAAAAGCAACCCCAAACACCTTCCTATATCTAGATCTCAAAATTACAAAGATTACTATTACAAAAATCATCTCGTGCTCTAGTTCTTTCACTTGATACATATTCCCAGAACAAGAAGAAGAATACCATTGACATCTACAAATAGGTTATACCCATTTCTCTCGTTTTGATCGGGATGGTGAAGATCTATGGTGGTGTTAATCAATTTCAGTTAGGTTTCCTTACAACCATAATTATCATTGCCAGTTTCCCACCGTAAAATTCATCATAGACACTGCCCCTCCTCCTACACCCTAGCAGGCTACCACCACTCACATACATTATTTGGATATTTATGTACCCCACACAAGCGAGGGCTAGAGAATTTCCATTTTCTTTAAAAAAAACATGTATAAAATTAGCGTTGACAAAGAGGGGTATTACAGCTCCTATTGCATCGTGTTTTTTGTTTATGTTTTATACAAAATGTATAAAATTAGCGTTGACAAAGAGGGGTATTACAGCTCCTATTGCATCGTGTTTTTTGTTTATGTTTTATACAAATCCGTTGAAGGGGAAGAGAATTTATATTTATTCTTCGTTTTAAACCAAAAAAATTTCGTCTCACCATAATTAAATAAAAATATGGGTTTGCCGTAAGAAGATGAAGATGAAGAAGAATGAACAAGATTTACACGTTCATTCATCTTCCATCTTCCGGATTTTTTTATTTTATTTATTTATTTATTTTAATAATTTATGTTTGATATGTGTTCTTCTTTGGAATTAATATTTGATTTAAAAAAGTAAAAAGGCTCCTACCAAATTCGCTAGAGAAGATTACTTCAACAAAGACGATAGCTCCCTTGAAGTGCTTTTTCATGTTTGAAAATAAATAAATAATTAAGTGGTTGATTTTGGTTAATCGGGGACGAATGAGAATGTTAGGGACAAAATCTTCTCCAATAGGATGGGGTGGAAATAGAGGGGATATTTTACGGGAGAAATAACTATATGACATGCCACAAAAACTAGTTACCTGCTATAACAGATGACTGTGGTCAATAATCGTAAAATCGTCTTATCATTAGAGTCTAATTTAACAAATTTTGAACTTTTAGATCCAAATGTATACATCCATATAGTTCTATGGCCAGTTATATCAATAGTCCATATATATACATAAGTAATACGATTTCTCCATTCCTCCTAATTTAGCCGAAAAGCATATCATGAGAATCAAACGCATGCAACTTTGTTGGAAGCGTAGCCATTACAGTATGGTTGCCCCGGCCGGCATGGATTGTGGCTTAATAAATTAATATATGATTCTTAGCATTACTCATTTATTTATTCTGTCCAAATTAAGTCGGAATAGCCGCATAAATAAAGTGGTAACGACTTAACGTATCAATTTTATTAAGTTAAAAAGAAACTGCCTTTTACTATGGTTTTATATACCATTCATCACAACCCCTACACGTGCTGAGAAATTGCTAGCGTACGTCTAATTTTAATTCAATTTACTTGCATTTTCGACACCATTAAGAACTGCATATATCAAGTCCTGAAAACCGTAGCAGGATACGGGTAACAATCAAAGAAGATGTAGACGTGAAGTGAAGGGGATATATATGCAGGATTTAGGTAAGGTGCTCTCCACAACTAAGAGTGATGATGAGTGAGTGTGTCACTAGATAAAGATAGAAGAGCATGTGATGTCTCCTTTTCCTTTTAACAATCGCCATCCATGACATAGGTCCCTCCTTCAAGAAAGGTAGCTAGCCAGGTATAAAAGGAAATTTTTTATTTTTATAAATAAATTGAAAAGAAAAAAGGGTATTTAATCTTGCATAAGAAAAGAAGTCGATGGAAGGGGAGATGATGGTAACGATGATGACAATCAATGGAAGAACAGCAACCTTCCATGAAAAAGATCATTCTTTCTCCACTCTCATACCTATCCCTATCCCTACCCCTACCCCTACCCCAGCCCCAACCTGGAAACTGTACGAAAATCCATTCTATAGTTGTCCTCAAAACCACCATCAAAATCAAGAAAAGAAAGAACAAGAACAAGAGCTAGAAGTGGGTCAGAAGAAGCAACTCCATCTTCTTCATTTGCCTGTTTCCACTCGTAAGATTGCAACATCTTTCTGGGATCTTACATTCATCAAGCCATTCATGGATTCAGAGCTCGACACTGCACGAGCACAGATCATGGAGCTCAAAGCACATCTTGAGAACGAACGAAAAGCTCGTAAAAAGGCCGAGTCTATCAACAAAAAGCTGACAAAGGAGCTGAAAGGAAAGGAAGCATTGGAGAAAGTATGCGAAGAGCTTGCAGCGGAGGTGTCATGTAGTAAGGCTGAGATAAGCAGGTTAAAGATAGACATGGAAGAGGAGAGGAAGATGTTGCGTGTGGCTGAAGTATTGAGAGAGGAAAGGGTCCAGATGAAGCTCAGTGACGCAAAAATCATGTTAGAAGAAAGGATATCGGAATTGGAAATCACCAAAATGATCCACAAGAAGAATGATGGAGATCGTCATCGGGAACAAAAAGAGCAGAATAAATGCCTTGTTCTTTCGAAAGAGAACCGCAATGTCATATCTGAAAAATCACTGAAATTAAAAGGTAGAAAGGTGTCATTAGAGCCCGAAAACCCTCACATAAAACGTGGAATCCGAGGGTTTGTGGAATTCCCGCGAGTGGTTAAGGCGATCGGGTCAAGAGGCAGACACTTGGGTACAAAATTGGAATGCCAGAAGGCTCAACTGATGATACTTCTAAAACAGAAGACACAAATCCAGTCCAACAATCTAATCATGAGTTAAGTGGATTATTACTTGACTACATTAATATTAATATTCTTTTTCCTTCTTATAAACAATTATTGATGTGGTTTGTGTTGATTAAGTAATAATCCCTAAACTTATCGCAAGATTCAAGTAAACGGGTGTGATTGTTTTCATGTGTTATGTTAAAGATTTGATAGTAAATGGATATGGTGTTTGTGATATTGATGGAGTGTTTGTTTGTAAAATTATATTCGTTTCAAATGGTGGTAATGATTTAAGGACCATGGGCACATGCTTCACTTTAACCTCAATTTTAAGTGGGCCTATCTTCATTATGATTTGTATTTTTTTAAGATTTTTTTTCAATATTTTTAAGGTGTCCTTACGAGTCTTCAGTTTAAAATGAGTCCTCACCTGATCCTGTTTATATATATATATATATATATATATATATATATATATATATATATATATATATATATATATATATATATATATATATATATATATGGTTGAGATCCGTTGAGAACTCATAGTTTCCCGAGAACCTGAGAACTAAAGGTGGAGCGTTAAATCAAAATTAATTCATTAAGGGCATGATCGTCATCTTACCGATCTAATTAAATGTTTAATTTCTTTTTCTTATTGGAAATATTAATAAAAAGTTCTAAAAATTAACATAATAAATCAAATTTCGGATTTTTTTAAAAAAAATAATTTTCAATTTTTTTTAAAAAAAATGGAGATTTTTTTATTTTTTAATTGAAAAAAAAATATTTTTTAAAAAAAACTGCAATTTAAAAAAAAAACTGCATTTTAAAAAAAAAACTGCATTTTTTTCAAAACCAAAACTGCAATTTTTTCAAAAAAACTGTAATTTTATTAAAAAAAATGTATTAAAAAAAACAGTAATTTTTTCAAAAAAGCTGCAATTTTTTTTTAAAAAGTAAATTTTTAAAAATCAATAAATTAAAAAAAAAAACTGGAATATTTAAAAAAAAAAACTCTAATTTTTTTAACAAAAAAATCAACCTTTTTTATGCATATATGTATATTTTTCAAGTACATGTATATATCTTTCTTATACTATAATATTCGTAAGTAAACATATAAAAAAATCCATTTATATTTAATAATATATAAACACAATAATACGAGTATTTTATTCGATACAAAATAAAATACAAAAAAACCAAAAAATACAACAAAATTTCAAAGCGTTTTTATGTCTTTGTGTTCTATATTTTCTTTAATTTATCATTTTTCATCTCTTCAATGTTTTCCACAAATTCTTCCAAATATACAAGAAAAAAAATGATTAATGCAAGAAAACTCACAAAAATACATGTGTGCATATAGACGTAATTTATATGTGGTTCACTAATGATTTATATGCGAATCACATGTAATTCATATGAAATTTACTTGTGAGTTACATGTGGTTAGCATGCGAATTACATGTGAATCACATGTAATTCATATGTGATTCACTTGTGATTTACTGTGAATTACATGTGAATCACATGTAATTCATATGTGAATCACTTGTGAATTACATGTGATTTATATGTAAATTACATATGTATCACATGTAACTCATATGTGATTCACTTGTGATTTACATGTGAATTACATGTGATTTACATGTGAATCACATGTAATTCATATGTGAATCACTTGTGATTTACTTGTGAATTACATATGATTCACTTGTGATTTACATGTGAATCACATATAACTCATATGTTATTGCTAAAATGAAACAAATTAAAATAAACTATATGGTTAGAAAAATAAATAATTAATATGATTCACATGTGAATCACAAGTGATTCACATGTGAATCACAAGTGATTCACATGTGAATCACAAGTGATTCATGAAGCTTAATATAAAAGCAATTAAAATCAACTATATGGTTAGAAAAAAATAATTAATTCACATAATTTACATGTGATTCACATGTAAATCACAAATGATTCACATGTGTCACAAGTGATTCACATGTAAATCTCTTTATTCATCATCATTTTTCTATATAAAATTTTTGATATTATGTGAGAATTACCTGAAATCCAAGAAATCTGCAATTGTAGAAAGCTCTCACGACTATAGTTTGATAGGAACCTGAATGGAAAAATCTGAATGATATTTGTGACACATCACACATACATTATAAGTGTATCTTGAAGGAATAAATCTTTCTTGAAATGAGGCCTTGACACCTGTCATAAAGAGTAGGGTTTCAAACAATTCTGCAAAAAAAAAAGTTATTTTTAACCTTTTATAGTAATCTTTAGCTAGTTTTAAGGTTTACCTGGTAAAAGAATGGGCTTTGTCTTTCAACAGCTAAAACAAAATCATATTTGGAAAAGCTTTGAGTTCCTTCATTATATAAAGTTTCTGAAAATTCACTTGAGGAAGCACGTGACATGTCATACTCATAGGGTTCATTAGGGTATAATTTGTTCCATGTTTCTTCTGTTTCCTTTCTTGATGTTCTTTGATTAATAGAAGAGACAACATTAGAGTTGTCAAGAATACTTCCGTAGAATTTTTCATAATCTGATTTGTATCCAACCTGTAAAAAAATATATCAAGAACATAAAGTTTTTTACAGAAATTATCATTGGAAAAATGAGTATTTGTTTCATAATCATATACCAGATTAAGTCCGTGACAATGCCAAATCCATTCACAATCAAGAGGAACAACTAAAGGTCCATCAGTGATTTTAGACTCTGAATGTTTAGCAAGAAATGGAAGCCAACATGCATTGTACCTGAAATTAGTTTTTTTTCATTAAATTATAAGTTTTTATTACTAAAAAAGTAATAATCAATTGAGTTACCTATAGATTGCCCATTGCAATGTCTAGCCTTGATAAAGCCAACAGTTTCTGTCTACAACTGCAAGAAATTGCAGCTAAAGCTTAGCACAGTCAAAAGATCTTCACTGATAAAGATACTATGTGTTGCATTCCATTCAGACTCCTGTTCTGTGTCCATTTTGATACACACCTAGAAATCAAGATGAATACAAGTAAGAAATCTATTGGTTTTTTTCAATATAAGATGAGTGTTGCTACCAATGTGAAAAACTCTAAAAGAGCCCCACCAAATCCAAAAATAGGCCTGTAACTACAATTAAGATAAGAACAGATCAAAATTATCTTACAAACCACTTCTTCTTTACTTATGACATAAAGCATGACTTAACAGAGAAAGTAAATGTGGATTTCCAAGTTAACTTCTAATACAATATTCAAGATTAGAGAACGAAAATAGAAAACAAGCAACAGTAGTTACAAATATGAGAATAAATGAAGAACACTTATCATTTTCTCCTTCTGTTATCTAATCAGTAGTTGGCGCAACGACAGGGGAAGAAGAGAGATCTCGATCGTAATGGAGTAGTCCGATGATGATAGAGAAACAAGGGAGAACGGATGTGCAATAATAGCGGACAAACCGATTCAAAATCAAAGCATCTTCAGTGGAGTTTTTTCTATGAAGAACGTGAGATCAAGGAGTGTGGCGGTTGACAGAGGTAGAGGTGGCCGGTGAAGGGAGGAGGGAGGCGATCGACGACGAATGATGGAGGAGGTTGGAGGCTATTCGACGGAGGTGAGTCGTCAGAGGATGGATCGTAGGTTTAAGCGAGAGAGGAAAACAGGTAGGATAGATAGAGAGATGAAAATTTATTTTATCAGATATTAGATTTAATAAATTATTTAATTATACTTTTATTCCTATAATACCCCTGACTGAATTAATTAAGATACGCCTCCTTCTTTTTTTGTCTACTTATTTACAAAAATGCCACCTTGCATCTCGACCCTTCCTTTTTTTGATCCAACGTTCCACCTTTAGTTCTCGGGTTCTCGGGAAACTTTGAGTTCTCAAATGATCCTTCTTCTTCTCTCTCTCTCTCTCTCTCTCTCTCTCTCTCTCTATATATATATATATATATATATATATATATATATATAGGGTCCGGTTGCAGTGAGGACTCAAAAAATAGTGAAGACTGTGAGGACAATTCTCCACCACTTATTTCGTCAATGACACAAACGTCAAACTCAAATACTTGGATGTGGTGCGTTCGCATGCAACCGACGTCCATGTTAACTAATACCGAGTCGATGATTTAATCTTGTGCGACGAACGTCCATGAAACGTTATTTAAGTGAGTTTATTATTTTTTTTTAATTTTTTTTCGTTAAAAAAATTAAATACATATATGCTCGATTTTAATGTTTTTTTATTATTTATTATTTTTATTTTTTACTAAACTACTTTTTATTTTCTCGTTTATTTTTTTCATTTATTTTTTAAATATCTTACTACATATTTGAAGGTACTACTGTTTTTCTTTATTTTTGTTATTATTATTATTATTATTATTATTATTATTATTTTTTAAACTAAATATTGGTTTGAGTTTTTACTGTTTACCAATTATAAAATTTTAAATAAGAAGAATATTATGGATCAAAATATTTTTCGTTCATACTTTTTTTGAATCATATTACTTTGAGATCATAAAATTTTGAATTAAATTATTTTGAATCGTAGTATTTTGAATCAAATCATTTTTGAATCATATGATTTTTTTTATCAATAACATATTCAATTAAATATAATTTTTTGTTAAAAAAAAATAAATATATAGATCATTATATATTTTGAATCATAAAAATATAATTAAGAATTATAAAATAATTGAGTCGAAATATTTTTAGATAATAAAAAATTAAGGATCATAAATAAGTTGAATCAAACGCTTTTTTTTAATCATAAATGTTTTAAATCGGCACATTTTGGATAATATTATATTTAATATAGTTTTTTTAAATTAATATTTCTTAAAATTAAAAATAAATACTTTAAAAACTTATTTTTGAAAATTTATTTTTAGAAAGTTAGTAGTATATTGAGTAGAAGTATCTTTTAAATTTTTATGATTTTAGAGAAATTTTTTTCTAAATTTTTTTATAAAAATTAAAAATAAAAAAATATTTTTTTTTCAAAATTTTATTATTGTTTTCATTTTATAGAGAATTAAATTTTAATAAAATTAGTTCTTTCAAATTTTTTTTTTCAAAGAAAAAAAAAAGTTACGCAAACAAAACTAAACGGAAAAAAAAAACCCACTTAATGGGAAGATGACACGTGTCCAGATGTTTGGTAGCTTTGGCGCGTCCAGCGCGTATTCTTAGACGACGTGAGCTCCTTTCCCATTTACATTCTTACCCTCAAATATTACAAAAATTATCCATTTTTTCTGAGAACTACATAATTGCACCCTTATTTTTTAAATTTATTTATTTTTAGCCTATTAAATCTTACCCATTAATATTTAGCAATAAGCAGCTTAAATTTATCTTCAAGTCTTCATCAAAATTGAAGTCCTCACCCGATGCAACTTATATATATATATATATATATATATATATATATATATATATATATATATATATATATATATATATATTAGCCGTTTACCTGTACTAAGCGTCGGGTACGAATAATTTCTTTCAAAATTTAGTTTGTAGAGGCAATTGGTTTTTTGCGCAAAAACTTTATTACATCTAAACAAAATGAAATTAATAAAAAAATAAAATGAAAAGTTTGGATTTTTTACAAATGTACATGAACATAGTTTTTTGATGTATAAACTTTATTGTTGTTGAATTGCATTTTAGAGTTTAAACCACAAACCACATCATAAAATGTGGCCTAAGAATATTACATCGCGCACCAGAAAATTATAAGTTGCATTTTGTGATGCGGTGTGGTGCCTTTTGAACCTCCCTTAAAAGAAAATATTTGTTTGATCTTGTTTCGTTTGATCCATAATTATGTTTTAAAAAAAAAATATGTCCCCGTATACGATTTTATAAGCTCAAATACTCATCGTGATCAAAGGGCTTCTAGCCCAACGGTACCGGGTGTTACCCTCACTCCTAGAGGCTGAGGGTTCAAGTCTCATTGGAGACATAAATGATATTAAGTGTAATTTAAGAGGAGTGTAGATTTGCCGTTCTAAAAAAAATACTCATCATGAAAATTCATACAAATACTTTTTGAGTTAATGTATGTCGAAAGTTTAACATGGATCCGTTGCTTCAAGCTCTTAACAAACAAACAATAACATCAATGGAATCACACTCCAAAAAATAATAATAATTTTTGAGATGTTTTTTTATTATAAAAATTGTTTCGTTGTATCATATTTTAAATCTTGTTACAATTGAATAGAAATTTGATTGCCAAAAAAAAACTCAAAAATTATTGTAAAAAAATATATATTACTAAAAAAAATCGTACCTATACAAAAGTACAATGTAATGTGGTTAGGGGTGTTATTTGGTCAGTTTTTTCAATGTTCGGTTTAATCGGTTTGATTTTTTTGGTTTTTTTATATTTTAAAATTAACCATAACCAAATGAAATAAACTTTGATTTAATCAATTTTGGTTAATTTAGTTACGGTTTATTTGGTTAGGTGTTTCGATAAAACTGAATAAAATTTCGTATTTAACAATAAATTTTAAACTAAAATAAAAATAACATACTAAATTTTACCAAATGAAAACAAATACACTAATAAATAATATATTATATTCAATCTCTCATGATATGTTGTCTTGAAGTATTGATGTAGCCATAAAAGTTGTAGAGACGGGATAATATAGTTTTAATCGTATATGAAGAGAAAATAACTGACCGAAGGTTAATTGACATTTGACATTTTGACTAATTAATTGTTGTTTTTTAATACAATATATAAGCAATTGTAAACTTATAATGGTTAATAATTAAATAATGAGTTACGAAAATAATTTTTAGTAAATATCTATTAATTTAAATATACAATGTTAATTTATAGATATAACCTATAAAAATATATATTAATTAAATAGCTTATTCGGTTTAACCAAAATCATCAAAACTTAACCAAAACCAAACCAAATAAGGTATCCTTATTCGGTTAACCAAACCAAATTAACCGAATAATCAAATAATCCGAACCAAATAAATCAAACATCATTTAGTTCGGTTCGGTTATTTGGTTATTCAGTTTTTTGTCACAACCCTAAATGTGGTCAAGTCCACAGAAGCTGAAACTATGTGTAGATAGCATCATCATATTCCTTGAGCTGAATGCCAACCTACCATATCCATATGTCACTCTTGCATGTAATGTGTGTTGAGATAAATTACTATGAATACATATCACAAGATTTGTAATCGTTATTATCTATTTTGATGGATTTTATAGTTCTTTGAGAATAATTATGAATATACATAAGTGAAATGAAAGTATATTCAATTAAAGATAAAAACAAAGGACTACGTTGAAGGAATTAGATGGAAAACTCATGTGGTAGTTAGCTATGGTAAAAAGTGATGGAACTGGAAGTGAACCTGCAATTATGATAAATATTACTTGCTTTTAAAAAAAAAAATTAAGAAACAAAGTATTTAATGTTTCATTTAAAGATATAATGACGAAAGTAAATGACATTACCAAAACAGAATATGTGTTTTGAAAGGTTGCTGCTAATAAGACACCCCTTAGACACCCTATCATCATTTTTATAAAAAGTCAACCTATAATCAACTCCTTGTAATCATTTTTTTCGGAAACAATGCAATTACAACCAATAAAATATTTCAAAAATTAATTAGGGTTGTCTAAATGGTAAAATGGAGTTTCTTTTTAGCCAACCCCGTTTTGAAACAATAAATTTTTTCTTACATTTCTTTTAAAATAAAACTAAAGTAAGAATTAACTCGGGCCAAAGACAGGAGCTGTCTTCGAACCTAAATGGTCGTTACACCTACATGTCCCAACAATTGGCGTTACACCAAGGTTTTTGCAAATCAAACGCATGAAAATATAAACACCATATATTTAAGTATAAATTATCAATACGTTATAATCATTAAAAAATTATGACAAAAGATTAAAATATCACCAAAAATAGCAACTTAATTTCA